TGTGGCCAGGCCGTTTTCCCCACATAAATTCCAATTTTCTCTAAATTTACCTTTTTTTTGAGTACATTCTACTCCCCCCCCCCCCCCTCACCACACAGTCCCCGAAATTCTTCCATTCTTTGGACAGAAAAAATAAAAGTCCCTAAAGCATCCGTGTTTTATTTTTTCCAATTCAAAATTAACTTGAATAACCATTCGTAAAGGACCCTTACAGCAAGCAGAGATTTTCATTCCACTGGATTTCAACTATTCTGGGGAGTGGTGAAGACGGTACCAAATTACTAAACTACAAATTACAAAGTACTAGCATGACGCCTAGCAAATTTTTATGTTCTTATTTACAATATGTAATTTGGGATAAAAATATGTCAAGCGACTGCCAGGATGGAGAAGGCAAGCTAAATGACCTTGGGTCTTCTTTCGCCGAGCAAATTCTTATGTTCTTACACATGGGTTTCACTGATCCTCATGAGAGATTAAAAAAGACTCTTGCCACCATAATACAATGCAAATTGACATTTGTATAGTACCTTTCGCTTCAGGAGGACTTCCCAAGGTGTGAAAGAGTTTCAAAGTGCTGTACAGGAATATGGGGGAAAACAGATCTCTGCCAGGCCTTTTTCATGTGTCTCTCATGAAATTGTAATGGGCAGGTTCTATAAAACTAGGTTCTGCCGATGAGTAAACAACTTTCTACTTCACCTGGAGTCATATCTTAACAATGGCGTAGTGTGACAATGAGCGGTGGGGGAAAGGGAAGGTCACTGTAAGCGTGGTCAAAGAGGAGTCTTCAAGTATACAATCTGAAGACGGGCAAAGAGGTGGAACACGGAGGGACTGAGGCAGAGTTCCAGACGTTCGGATCATGAGAAGCACTAAATAAAATTAAAGTCCAACAAGTCTCTCCCAGCCATCTCTTATTCTAGATAATGACACTGTGTGTAGTACACTCACATTTTCCTCTGCCCGGGAGGAATGGTGTAATACAGGATACCACGTTTGCCTTAAGACCCAAAACAGAACAAAAAAACCTGTAAAGATATATGCACGTTCAGTGAAGCTCTCGGAAACGGATAAAAATGGACTCTACCGGGGAGAATTGGCTAGTTTGCGGATCAAAGTTTCTTGGTACCGTCCGGCAAGGAAACCCAACGTCAAAACTTCAATGGGCAATACCAAGTGTGCAGCATCAAATGTAGTGGTGTGTTATATGACCTTCATTCAAGACACGTGAAGGAAGCTGTCTTGGTCAGTCACAATCAAAGATTTAAATATGACCAATTGTGAAGTCACTAAAGGCTACATTCTCTACACAGACTTAAAGCTGTACAACCTTCAGACAACACCAGGCTAAAGGCATATGACCCCTCCATCCACAGCTCTCAGACCACATAAAACACAAACTTTATTTGATCGAAAAACAAAAACCCTCAGTAGTCTTATATTTTTACTCTGGAGTCTCATAATTACAGGCTAATAAAACACTAAACAATTGATAATTCAAGGCCCAGACTCCCTTTCCTGCCTCTTAAAAGAATAAAGTCCAGGAAATGCTTCCAATGTATATTCCCTTCCACAAACCAGAGAAGGGAGTTTCTCCCAGTGTCCTGGCCAACAATCCCACAACTAAAGTTTGTCATTCATTTCATAATTGTTTGAGCGACATTGCTGCGTGCTAACTGGCTGCCATGTGCACCTACAAATAACATACTTTACAGTAAATCCTGTGCAGCACTTTGAATCGGCCCCACCAACGTGAAAAGCGCTGCATCAAACTCAAGGATTATTATGAACAAAACACAAAATACTGCAGATGCTGGAATCTGAAACAAAAACCGAGAGAGCTGGGAAAGCTCAGCAGGTTAGGCAGCATCTATGGAGAAAGGAAAGTGAGTCAAAGTTTCGGCTTCACGACCCTTCGTCAGAACATCGTTTTTTCCCAGCTCTCTCTGTTTTTGTTCAAGGATTATTATTAATGATACACTAAAATGTTATATTTTTATAGTGCCTTTCACCTTGGGAAAATGTCGCACAGTGCTTAACAGTACTGGCTGGGAACTGAGTTACAACAACTTGTATTTGTATAGCGCCTTTCACGTCAGGAGGACGTCCCAAGGCCCTGGATAGGGCTAAAAGGATGTTTTTACGGCTGGTGCAAGGCAAATAGTGACATACAGCAGGGATCTAAGCTGGGGCCCTTTCTATTTTTCAAAAAAACGCAATGACCTAGACTTAGCTATGGGAGATCAATATCAAAGTTTGAAGATGACATTAAGAGTGGAGGCAAAATAATCATCCTTACATTTGATATAGCACCTTATCACATCTTCAAGACGTCTCAAGTCACTTCACAGTGTAAAATACATTTTGTGGGCCAAACACGGCAGCCAATTTTGCACAGCAGAGGCCCACAAACAGTCGTGGATTGAGAAACGAAACAAAATTAGCTAAGCTGGATTGAGACATGAAGGTAGTTTCCACATTATGGCTGGGTTTTAATCGCAAGTCCTGCTTCATCTTAAATTTTAAGACAAAACACTAGGTAGGATTTCAGGTAGCAAAGTTTGTGTGGGTCGCTTTGAACCAATTCCGGTTTTCATATAAATGCCATTAGGAAATCACACACATCAGACCTCAAGGTCAGCAGGCAATTTATCCGGAGGATTGTTGGCCAGGACACCAGGAGATTTACCCTTCCTTTCTCTTTCCCAGAAGTGCTATGGGATCTTTAATATCCACCTGGAAAGGCAGACAGGAACGTCTCATCTGAAAGGACATTCCGTTAAGGTCAAAGCCACGAATCATCAAATATTTTTTATGTTGGGTCCAACCTCTCAATCTAATCTTTCCCACATCATAAAACTCTCAAGAACCTTGTAACATTTTTACCCTTTGATACCCAACCCTCCCCACAACAATTCTTCCAAGGTACTTCTAATCCTAACATTGGCTTTTCAACTGAATCTAAAACAAGAAATATTTTAAAAAGATTTAGTTTATTATAACAGTCCTGATCAAACAGTCTCCCACAAACCAATCCAAATTGAGTATTACAATCTCCTATGAGGTGTGTGTGTGTGAGAGAGAGAGAGACAGACAGGAGGGAAGAGTGAAAGAGAAGTCACTACAAATCTAAGAGATAACAAATACAACCCACCCTCCAACAGCCCTACCCATGCCTTAACTCCATTCTAATATAGTTCAACCCCCACACTGGGACTTTGAGCTCATAGTCCAGGCTGGCACTCCAGTGCTGTGTATTATCAGTGCCATCCTCCTTCAGATGAGATGTTAAATTGAGGTCCCATACATACGCCTGTTCAGGTGGACACTATAGATCACTGGCACGATTTGACACAATATCTCCGCCAAATAAAATATTAAATTTATGGCTGTTTGGTGACCGTCATGTTCGGCTTCAAAATAGACACTATACATAGTACGCACTGTAAAGCCTTTGACATTGATGACGCGTGAAAAGGGACGACATCAAATGCAAGAATTATATTAAAATAATCCATACGCTCGATGTAGCACCTTTCAGGAGGATACACTGCAAAGTGACTGTATTTTGTAGGCAAACATGGCAGCCAATCTACGCACAGCAATGTCCCACAAACAGCCATGAGGTAAATGACCAATTATGTGTGGAGGAACCGGGACACTGGGAGAAACTCCTCCACTTGAACAGGCAGGGCCTCAGTTTAACATCTCATCCACACGAAAGCACCTCCAACAATGCACTGGAGTGTAAGCCTTGACTTACGAGTTCAACGTCCCCCAAGGTGGAGCCTGAGCCATACAACCTCCCGACCCAGAGGCCAGAACGCTACTAACTGGAGGGGTGGGGGGAAGACAAATGTACTTATTTAAATACAGTCGCGTGATTGAGTATTCCATTTCCTCGTGTGAGATTTAGCCGCGATCGGGGGAAGAGAGAGAGAGAAACAACAACAGCAACAAGATTCCATTTATAGAGCGCCTTTCACGTCGGGAGGACGTCCCGAGGCGCTGGACAGTTGGGTCAGGACCCGAGCATTGGGGGGGGGGGGGGGGGGAATGGTCAGGGTGAGGGGAGGGAAGGAGGAGGAGGGAGGGTAGAGAGTCGAGCTGAAGGCACGGTCGAAGAGAAAGGTCTCGAGACCGGCCTCGGAGGAGGAGGAGGAGGAAAGAAAAGAGAGAGAAAGAAAACAAATGGAACGATATGACAACGATCCACTTTCCAATCGGTTCAGACGCATTTTTTTTTAAAAAAAAAGAGAGAGACAATGAACAACAGTTCCGCCCTCTAAAACACACACAACGCCACCACACACAAGGGGTTGGCTTCAAAGCACAAAATGAGGAGGATATAGAGCTTGAAAAGGAGCAGTGAAACCCACCCCAACCCCTCCCCCCCCTCTCTGAGGAAGGTGAAAGTTTTTTTTCACCCCCAAAAAAAATTAAAACAGAATAGATTTTCTCTCCACTTTTAACCCGTTGTACACGGGGTGGGGGGGGGAGAGGGGGGGGGGAGAGGGGGGGGGAGCGAATCGTTGGGTATAAAACGTGGGTTTATTTGGGTAATAAGGGGGGGGGGGGGTTAAAGTCTCTCTCCCCTCTTCTCTCCCCCTCCTCAGGCGGCCCGCGGGCTTCAGGAGGCCCGCGGGCCTCAGGTCTCTCCCCCACACGCTCCTCCGCTCATCGATCCGGTTTTTTTTTTAAAAAAACGGGCGACCGAGTCGGGGAAGGAACTCTCTGTCTCGGTCGGTCGGTCGGTCGGTAGCGAGTGGGCGGAGGAGCCCGAACAATGGCCCCCGGGTTCCGGGCAGCCCGCAGGCGGCGGCGCGGCGGCGGCGGCCCAACAACCCCTCCCTCTCTCTCCCTCTCTCTCTCTCCTTCTCTCTCTCTCTCTCTCGGCTCCGAGAGGTTTCGTACTCACTCCCTGACCCTCCCACCCGCGTCCGGGCTCCCTCGCGGGCCCGCTGCACCGCCCCTCGGGCGCGCTCGCCGCCTCTTACCTCGGCTCTCTCTCAGCCGCCGCTCCGGTTGACTATTTGGCCCCAAGATGGTGGGCGAAGCTGCTGCTGCTGCGGCTTCCCCTCGCCTTCCCGCCCGCCACGTCATGTGCTCATTGCTCGCCAGAGGGGGTAGAGTCAATGCCAATAGCTCAACCCCCTCGCCTCCAATACTCGCCAGAGGGGGGGTAACACAAATGCCAATAGCTCAAACACCTCACCTCCAATACTCGCCAGAGGGGGGTAACACAAATGGCAATAGCTCAACCCCCCCCCCCTCCAATACTCGCCAGAGGGGTAACATAAATGCCAATAGCTCAACCCCCCCCTCCAATACTCCCAGAGGGGTAACACAATCCAATAGCTCAACCCCCCCCTCCAATACTCCCAGAGGGGTAACACAATGCCAATAGCTCAACCCCCCCCCTACCCCAGAGGGGTAACACAATCCAATAGCTCAACCCCCCCCCCTCCAATACTCGCCAGAGGGGGTAACACAATTGCCAATAGCTCAACCCCCACCCTCCAATACTCACCAGAGGGGGTAACACAATTACCAATAGCTCAACCCCCCCCTCACCCTCCAATACTCGCCAGAGGGGGTAACACAAATGCCAATAGCTCAACCCCCACCCCCCCACCACCACATCATAATAATAGTAATAATAATAATAATAATAATCCTTGCATTTGAAATAGCGCCTCATCGCATCGTCGATGAGACGTCTCAAAGCGCTTCCTGTAAAGTGTGGCGACCGCGTGCTTTGTGGGCGAAACGCGGCAGCCGACATGTCCCACACAATTAAAAATATCAACTTTCAAATTTGACAAATACACTCCAGTTTTGCACAAGAACAGGATCACATTTTGAATGTTTTTTGAACATTTAAGCTGCACGTATGCGGGTGACACACAAATCTACTTTGCCTTCTCCGGCATCGACTACACGTCCACCGATGTTATACTATAATAATAATAATAATAATAATAATCCTTGCATTTGATATAGCGCTTTTCACGTCGGGAGGACGTCCCAAAGCGCTTCACAGAACACACTGTAAAGTGAATTGACTGTATATTTGTGGGCGAACGCGGCAGCCAATTGCGCACAGCAATGTCCCACAAACAGTCGTATATTGAAAATGACCAATTTATTATTGTTTTTGGTTTTGGACGGATTATTATTAGGCTCTGTGTGGAGTAAGGAAACTTGCCCAAGGTTTCGCCCTCTGCCTGGGATTGAACTCAGGTCTCTCACTTGCAAAGCGAGTGCTCTAACCACTGAGCTACAGGACTCCAGTTCTGTCAGGCATCAGGGCCTGGGTGAGTGCAAACTCCCTCCAGCTGAACGTGGACAAGATGGAAGCCATACTCCTTGGCTCCCGCCAACGTCTTCACTGCTGCGGATCTAAACTCCACAACCTCCCTGGGTTCTCCTTCAGATTCATCGAACCAGTGCGGAATCGAGGCATTCAGTTCAACTCCCAGTTGTCCTTCCTCCCCCAAGTCCGGTCCCTGACCAGGACTGCCTTCTTCCACCTCCGCTACATTACAACCTTACCCCCAAATGCAGCCGAAACCCTCGTGCAGTGCGTTTGTCACCTCCCGCCTGGATTACTCCAAGGCACTCCCCGGCTCCACTATTCAAAAGATCAACTCATTCAGAACTCTGCCGCCCTCATACTGACCCGGACCAAACTCTGGACCCACATCTCACCAGTTCTGGCCCAGGCCCCACTGGCTCCCCATCGCCGAACGGATCGACTTCAAGATCCTCACTCTCGTGTTCAAATCCCTGTCTCTCTGACCTCCTCACCCCCCAATCCACCACCCGGGGCCTCCGCTCGACTGGCACCAGCTTCATGGTTGTCCCTCGCACCCTCCGCTCTACCGTTGAAGGTCATGCTTTCAGCCACTACTCCCCGAAGCTCGGGAACACTCTTCCTCAATCCCTCCGCCTTGACCGCTCTCACCCCTTTTTCAATTCCCGCCCGAAAACCCTTCCTTTTCGACTGTGCTTACAATCACCACCCCCTCCCCCCCCACCACCCCCCCCCCACAACCCCTGGCTCTGAGTTAGGCTCCGCCACTGTTAAGCGCTCTGAGATGATACCCTGCGTGGAGGGGGCTATATAAGTGCAAGTTGTTGTTGTCGGTTTAACGTCTCGTTCAAACGATCAACAGGCACGAGGGAATGACTCAGTCGGAAGGCAGAGATCCTCATTACACAGCGAGAAAGATCACGGCCATTTACTTCTGGTTTCGTTTGTAACGACCCAGGTCACAGGAAATGGGAAACTGCACAAGAGCAATAATTTGATCTCTGTATTTGATGTAGCGCCTTATCGCATCTTCGGACGTCTCAAAGCGCTTCACAGAATATACTGTGACGTGTTAGTGACTGTGTGTTTTGTGGGCGAAATGCGGCAGCGAATTGCGCACAGCAGCGTCCCACAAACAGTCGTGGATTGATTGACCAAACTATTATTTTTTTTGACGGGATTATTACCCCCGGAAATCGATCCGCCAATCGATTAAGAACCGGGTTCCTACTTACTGTTGGGTAAACAGAGGAGTGTGGAGTAAGGAAACTTGCGTAAGGTTTTGCCCTGCCCGCGCCTTTGATCACCTTCCTCCCCCTCCCCCCGGCTCTGTCCCGGGATCCGTTACTGTGAAGCGCTCTGAGACGCCATCCGGCGTGAAGGATGCTATATAAATCCAAGTTGTTGTTGCTGTTGTTGCCCTGCCCGGGAATCGAACCTGGGTCCTCTTGCTTGCGAGGTCTAATTTACTGATCTAATCTAACACTGGGATCTAATTCGCTAACCATGTGTACACGTGTGTGTAAAGCTTGAGACGTCCCACGATAAGACACAATAAGGCACTATATCAAAAGCGAGGATTATTATTATTATTATTATTATTATATAGCTGTATGGTAGAACCTTCAGCAGGGGGCAGCACACAGCTACCGTTCCATGACCTGCTCCATCTACTGTGCTCAGCTCTGCCCCGGTTCAATGCGAGTGAGTTCCTGTAACCTGTTCTATGCCTTCAGCTACTCATAGAAACATAGGAACAGGAGGAGGCCATTCAGCCCCTCGAACGTGTTCCGCCATCCTATACGAACATGGCTGATCTGTACCTCAACTCCAATCACCTGCCTTTCCACCTTTGATACCCCGACCTAACAAACATCTATCCACCTCGGTCTTGAAGATGTGAATGGATCCAGCATCCACAGCCTTTTCGGGGGGAGAGAGTTCCAGATTTCCACGACCTGAGCCCCTGTTCACTCTACCCCTACCCCGAGCGACCCATCCACACATTGCTTCCCAACGACTGTCTGTGGGGACGTTGCTGTGTATAAATCGCGTTCGCCTACAAAAACACGCAGTCACTACGCTTTGCAGTATATCCTGTGAAGCACTTTGAGATGGTTTGACATTGTGATAAAGTGCTGCATCTAATGCGAGGAATATTATATGTTCTGCCTAATTGCCGTGCGCAATGGGCTGCCACTTTCCACCCACGAAATATACATTCATTTCGCCTTATAGTATATTCTGTGAAGTGCTTTGAGGCATCCCACCGACGTAATAAGGCGCTATATCAAATGCAAGGTTTATTATTATTATTATTATTATTATACCCACATTGGCTGCTATTCTGTATAACACATTAAACTCCATAACCCCATCACACCAGTTCTAGCCGGGCTCCACCGCATCTCTGAAAGGATTGATTTCAAGATCCTCACGTTCGTCTTCAAATCCCTTCATTCCCTGGCACCTCTCTGCCTCTCCGACCTGCTTACCTCCCAACCCGCAACCCACTGCCTCCTGCTTGTCCCTCAGTGCCCTCCGCTCCACCATCGGAGGCTGCGCTTTCAGCCACTACGCCCCAATACTCTGGAACACTCTTCCTCTGTCCCTTCCGCCTTGCCCCTTCCTTCCCCAACTTCAGGTCGTGCCCGGAGACCTCCCTCTTCGACCGTGCCTCTGGTCACCTCCCTCCGGTTTGATGTAGTGCTCCACAACTGTCAAGCGCCCTGGGACGCTATCCTGCATGAGCCACATTGTGGGAATGTGTGTGTGTGTGTGTCGGTGTGTGTGTATATGTGGGTCTGTGTGTGGTGGTAGTGTGAGGAGGGAGTGGGTGTCTTGCTGGAGAGGAGCAGTGGGTGATCAGCTGGCGGTGAGAATAATAATAATCATAATAATCATAATAATCCTTGTATTTGATACAGCAGCTTATTACGTCTTCGAGACGTCTCAAAGCGCTTCACAGGATACAACAGCAACAAATTACAAATTGTACATTTACAATGCGCCTTTCGCATCGGGAGGACGTCTCCAAGACGCTGGACAGTCAGGGATTTGGGGGTAGGAGGGTGACCGAAGTCATGGAGGCTTCTGAGGTGGAGGGTTCTTCACAACCCTGGCTCGCTCACCTCTGAGCTACACGGTCAAGGGTTCAAGCCCCCACGTCGGAACTTGGAATCAATCTAAACTTGTCAACTTACTCGTGGGGTAGCGCTTGGCAGTGGGGGAGTCTGACGCCGAGCCAGGGGGCGAAGGAGTAGGAGCGGGGGGCGGGGGCGGGGGGGAGGGAGGGAGTGGGAGGGGGGAGGGAGTTCCAGGGTTTCGGGGCGGAGTGGCTGAAGGCACATGGCAACCCTCACCAGCACTCTTCCTGCTTCTCAGGAGCATAGCAAAACTGGGAATAATTATTATCTGCCAAGATTCCAAAACACAGACCAGATCTTATCATTAAAAAATCAAATAGGTTGAGCAAGTAGTATTATTGATGTGGTTTTCCCGAGTGATTGCTACTCAAGACCCCTCCTCTTCGACCCCACCTATGGTTACCCTCCTACCCTTCCTCGAAGCCGTGATAAGGCGCTATACTACATGCAAGGATTATTATTCCTATTACCCCATATTCCCCTGATCCCAACCCTGCTGCTCGGGTCCAAACCCCTGACCGTCCAACGCCTCGGGACGTCCTCCCGACGTGAAAGGCGCTGCGTAAATATAACTTGTCAATGTTGTTGATTACTGCGTAAAAAATAAGGAACGAGAGAGAGAGAGAGAGAGAGAGAGAGTCATGACATGTATT